TTTTTTTATAAAGAATTTTGCTTGTTTCCAAATATAAAATATTGATATTAAGTTCAATTTTCCACCCATGGCCATGCATGGGTTATATATTTCCCTTTATAAAATAATATGCATGACTGAAAATATTTTAAAATTTGCTGAACACCTGAAAAAATGTATGTATTTTTTAATAATGCCTCTAACTATTGGAAATATAAAGGTTATTTATGGTTGTATTGTTGGATTGCGTCACAGTCCCGAAAAAATTGATAATTATCACGTTATTAGTGTGTTTTCTTGTTACTTTGACACTGTAACACCCGAAACGAAAAATCAGGTAATTGTTTTATTATTATGCCTTACAGATTGATTAGTGTAATAATATTTAGTAAAAGTAACGTTATGGTGGTAATGATTTAAAATACTAACTAATATCTAAGCATAAAACTAATTTGATATGTATTTTTCTTGATTAAAAACTGTAACACCCGAAACGTTTCGGGTGTTACAACTTTTTCATATGTCGTGACACTTTTCAACTTATTAAATCGTTATCCTATATGCTAAACTGTACTAATTTTACAATTTAGATGAAACAACTAAAAACGTGGAGAATAATGCACTTTAATTGCTAAAATATTATTTCAAAAATGCAAATGCATTATTGAAGTAGGAAATTATAATTTTTTGTCTTGAAACTTGCTGCCAAATATGCATATTTCCCAATCCCCTTATACTAACAAAAGCACAGCTTAATTAATTAATTGGGCCGTTATCATCATTAGATAGCGGTAGTTGAAAATATTCCAAACTTGCCAGACATTCAGCGTCTGGGTCATAAACCGAAATATATCATTAGAGGCGTCTCTTATTAATTTTGGTTGTACTGCATGCTGTCTACATAAAGCTGTAACAGCATTGAGATTGGTTAACAAGTTTTCTTTTGATATGGGATTCGTAATTTCCATATTATACGAGGCGTGGGTTTAAATTTTATTGGGATTTTCACAAAAAAATCCATTGAAGTCAGTGGCGGCTGCACTGAAAAAAAAGATTTCTTATATTTAGAACACCTATTATCTTAAAAATATTTTTTTTAATTCAAGACAACTTGCTTTAAAATAAGAATATATATATTTCAACTAAAAATATTTAACTTCTTTAAAAAATAAGTTTGTAGTTTTGGAAATATTCCTATATTAAGAAACATTTCTTCTTTTAAAAAGTTGCATGTTTCAATCCAAATATTAAATATTCTTGAAGGAAATCTTAGTTGGTTTATTGGTACAATTGTTAATATTTTTATTTTAAGAATTAGATATTCCTAAATTTTTTTATTCGTTTTAATAAACAGTATTTTCTTTTGCCAAGAATACATATTTTTGAAATCGTGTAGGAGTGGAGATGCCGACACGTTCCTCTGAAGTTTTATGCCTAATCATTCAGTGTTTCTGTCTCTTTGCGAGGAAGAGGGCATATTTCATAAAAAAATTATTAGAAGAGTGGTCAGCATGGAAGGAAATTATAAAAAAAAATTAAAGGTAAGTAAGTTGTTATTGATACACCACCCTTTTTTAAATTTAGCGTCGCATTTACGTGTAGGAAGGTAGGTTTATTGTTTAAATATTTACTAATATGCATTAAGGATGCCTTAAAATTATTTTATTCATAAATAAATAGGCTTTGCAGTGATAACCAAAATATCGTATGTGTTTAACACTCTGATTTGTATGGCTCTATAACTTTAAGTTAATAAACTTAATTTATTTTATGACATTTAAAAAGATTTTGTTTTGGAAGTAATTTTGTTACACACTTTGGGGTATAATATTAATTTTGATTCATATAGGGTGGAGTTCATTGGCAACAGCCCTAAATTATTTTGTAAAATTTTATAATATGCCTAAAATATTTAAAATGAAAAATATGTCGATTATAATGATTAAGTTCCCTACGATAATTTATAATAATGTATACATTTTAGATTTTGCTTGTATTAAAAACAAAATAAATGTGTTTGTTCAACGTTTGTGCTTACTGCACCACCTAGAAACGATACAACGTATACTTTGGCCCTTCAGTAAGTTTGGCTCAATTTCCCTTCAAGTGTAGACGTATTTTTATTTTAAATTTAATTTCTTTTGCAGTAAAATTCCTAAATATAAAGATGTTTTTATTATTAAAATAAATAATTTGTAGTTAATATACGTATTATTATTTTCAAAATTTTATTGATTTTAAATACAAAATGATAGATTTTTTGAAACATTGGTAAAAGTAGCTTAAAATTAAGATAGATACATTTTATTTTTAACGATACTTCTTGCATTGTTTTAAAATAAATATTATTTTGTAATCAATGAAATGAAATTTTAAATCTTGTATCTATTAATTTAAAAAAATATTGGGTTATAGAAAACATCTTGATTTAAGAAAATTATTGCCTTATTTCAATCACATGTTTTTGTTTCAAGAAAATATATTCTTAAATTAAGTATCTTTTTTATTTAAGAATACCACTACTTAATTTATTTAAAAAAAAATATTCTTGCTATAAAACAACCAAATATTTGGTTAAAGAAAATAGATTTTCTTGAATTAAGTAAATATTGAATATTTTATTATCGTGGTGCATTTTGTCTTCTTTCTTTTGTTCCGTTAGTAATCATGGAATCGCCCTAAAGCTAATCGAAATTGCAATTTTATTATTTTTTCAAAGCAATGCAAAAGCAATAGGAAAACATAAATTGATAGGAAATTGTTAAGGTTTTGTTTTTTATCCTCGATATTCTGAAGCTGCGGTTGACTTTAGAAAATAGATTTCTCGATATTCCTAGATAAAATATCTCACAATCAGGACACCTGCTTGATGCGAATTGAAAGACATTTTTCAACCGTTCTCGGAACATTTGATCTACATTTTCCGAATGCACAAGAAATAAATTGGAATTCTTCACATGCATATATTTTGTTGTTTTTTAACACATTTCAAATATTTATTTTGATGTTATCGTACAAATAACTCAACAGACAACTAATTATTATATAATTTAATAAATTGTTTACACTACAAACCATCAGATTGTCAACATTAATTTTCCGATAAACACATTTTTATGTATAACACAAAAATAACACAAAAATTCAATAAACTCAGAATCGAATTATAAATAATGGCACCTTTATTAATGTTCAAAATAAATCAATCAATGCTGACACGTGCTAATTTGGAAAATTACATTCACAATTCCTATTGTCGTATTTTCAAGTTCGATCTCTACAGCCTTACACAAAGAACGATTATTAAAGTCCCGGAATAATACTTAAGAATGACAAAAAAACTCCTCTCGACTTGGCAAAGAATTTTCGCTTATGCCTTTGAATAAATAATACACTTACGTCCGAAATATGGAAATATTATTGCTTGCTATTTTCGGTTATGTTTTAATAAAATTAATCATAAAACTTGATAAATTTAATTAATATGCTTATATACTATTATCTAACGCAAAGGATATACGTACGGAACGCAGTCTTTTGAAAATTTGGCATTTGTCAAAGTATAGTCAATGAAAGAAATAATATTTATAGTGTTACCGCTTATGTTTAAGGGTTCAAAGTTAATAAATCTTTATAGTACCACTGGTTGGTTTAAGAATTTAGGAATATAAATACTGCATTTAATGAAATTCCAAAGTGTAAGGTGCAATTGTGCATTGGGTCTACATTTCTCCTTAAAATAGTTTTAACTAAACAGCATTTATTAAAAAAAAATCTAACTTCTCTATTATGAAATAAGAATATCTGTATCAAAGGTAGGTTAATGTATTAGAACAAAAAATATCATCTAATTTTGTATTTTAAGGTTAGAAAAATCTATTTTGACCAAAATAAATAAGTGGATTATTTGAAAAAGTGTGTTAATATGGTCATAAATATATATAGGTATACTAAATAATTGTTGAATATAGTTCAAATTAAATTGAAGCTTTTATACTTCTAACGACAAAACTTGCGGCATACTTACTTTAAGTTAGATTATAAAAAACAAACCATTTTTAGAGAAACTTGCAATGTGAAAATATTTAATACTCCCATCACATGTGATTTATTAAAATTTTTAAAGTTTTTATGATTTTTCGATGTAGATCATGTTCAGTCAAAGCTTTTTAACTATTTGTATTGACAAAACTTTATGTAGGTACACTTTAAGCTGGACAAGAAAAACTACCACATTTTTAAATACCATATTATACAGTCTTTTAAATAATCCAAAATACTTATTTATTTTGGTCAAAATAAATTTTTCTAACCTTAAAATTACAAAATTAGATGATATTTTTGTTATAATATATTCAATCGGATATTCTTATTCCATAATAGAGAAGCTAGATTTTTTAAAATAAATGGTAGTTAGTTAAAATTATTTTATGGAGAAAACCAGATATTTGGACCAAATGCACAAAAATATTACTTATTTGGCACCATACATTTTAGAATTTCATTAAATGCAGTATTTATATTCTTAAACCATCCATTGTTATTGTAATGTTATAAAGATTTATACATTTTTAACGCCTAAACAAAATATCATTTCTTTCGTTGACTATACTTTGACAGATACATAACCTGAAAAGCCTTAAGTGCCAAATTTTTAAAAGACTGCGTTCCGTACGTGGTCACGTGGTGGGACTTTGAAGTGTGGAGCATAGTACATAATTATAATACTAGAATTTGTATAGACTTTATTTTACTAGATAGATGTAATACCAAACAAATGTTAAACCCCGTTTAATAAACTACCCGTGAATATTAAAAACTGTGATAATATAAATCAGTTCAAAAAACCTCTTTACTATATTTACTAAATTATATCTAATTAAAATTTAGTTTTCTATTTATAAAAATGTTTTGTTAAAAATCTTCTTTATGTTAATATGTAAATTGTTATTTTTATGTAGCACTGATGCTTAATAAATACATTATTATTATACACAGATACTTGACAAAAATGTACTTACAAAGACATCAAATAATCCAAATTCTCAAACGCCTCTGCCTCAATCAACTTGATTCTGTTTTCCGTGAGCCATAGCGTAGTTAAAAAGCTCATTCTGGGGAAGCTGCCTGACAGCACATACTTGATGAGATTGTTTTGCAGATACCTGCAGAAACAAAAACGAATCGAAAAATTTGCCGGAATTATCAAACTTAACCACTAAAGCGGAACTGCTTACGTGCTCATATATTTATTGAGGTACTTACAGCGTGCTGAGGCTCTTCAGTGGCTCGAATGCTCTAAGGTTAATGTCGGTGATTTTATTTCCCCTCAAATCCCTGAAACAGTGGATTGCTCGATTTTAAGTCCGAATTTAATTGAATTTAACCGCGACGAGTTTAAATCGTTAATTAGACGCTAACCAGGCATTCGTTAGTTTGGCTCTCATTATAAATTTACGTTTTCCCAAGTCAATAAGAAAATATTTGGGTTAAAAAAATAATAATAAAAGAATTTTTCGCCCCCTTCAAATGATATAGTGTATATGGGTGATTCTACAAAAGTTGGGCAACTTTTGACCTCATTTTGTTTATATAGTTTTCGGAGAAAATTAAACAGTATTTTGTTATGAGAACAAAAATAATATAATAAACAGTCACTTTTTCAAAAAGTTTCTGAAATATCTGTGTTTTCTAGATTTGAATGCAAGGGAAGTGACGAGTATACCAGGGTACTAATTCAATACATAATTTATTGGAAAATATTAGATTTATTGCAACTTTGAGCGTATTATACATTAAATATCTTAAAATCAAATAATACCACACATCAGTGACGGCTGGTGGATTTTGGGTATACCGTTATCTCAATTATTAGATATGGGACCCACACCAAATTTATATGAGTTTATAATGACATATAATAAACAAGTTCTGCGCAAGCAGAATTTAAATTGAGGTTTGCGAAAAAAAGATAACCGAAACATCGAACATGGAACTGACGACACGATACTGATGAATGGGATAAAAATTTGAGATTATAATTCGGAATTAAGTATTTTACTGATATTTTTTATTAGTGGATGCTACTTATCAATAAATCACATAAAGCCTTATATAAATTACAATGAAATATATAGACGTAACCACAGTACTGAAATTTTGACTGTAACTAAACGTGCATTCACCACAACTTCGCCGCTTGCATTGTTTTCAAGATGAATGTCGTGCAAAGGGCGGACTCTGTAGGTAATTTTTTACCAACACTTGAGTTAAAACGAGGACTTGACGTTTAAACTTCAATATTTCGAAGGAATTTTGAATTTTAACATTGGACACAGAACTGACGGGTAAAAGTGAGTACAAAGATTATCAATTTTTTAAAAATTGCTATTATGCGAATCTATGATAAAATATGAAAAATACATTATTTAATGTTTTATAGTTTGTAGTGAAAATGAAAAATTTAAGATAAATTGAATATATTTTAAAATAAAATCACTCAAATATTTGATTCAGGAGTTGTGACACGCCAAGGTACTGATGTTTTGAATATTTATTATGATTTTCTACAAACGTGCTTTTGAAAAAATACCTTAAAATTGGGTGGACAAGTTAAAAAATCCTGGATCTTTTGTATAAAATATTTACAAAAAATATTAAAATACCTACTCTATTGACTGATGACATCAAGTTGTCCAACTTTTGTAGAATCACCCATATATATGCCTAATGTAATTTCTAATATTATTTTTGTGAATATACTTACAACTCTATCAGATACTTCAAGTTTACGAACGCATTCTCTTCAATGATTTCAATTTCATTGTAACTGACAATTCTGGAAAAAGAAATATTACAAGAACATTGTTATTAGAAATAAACTAAACATATATGGCCTAAACGCAACAGTGTTAAAGTGGTTTAAGTCATACTTAACTGATAGACAGCAAAAAGTTAAATATAAAAACGCAACATTAAATCCTGTTATTGTAAATTATGGAGTACCGCAAGGTACTGTGTTAGGTGCATTATTATTTTTGTTGTATGTTAACGATATATAGTCAAGGTTTATGTAAGCGGAATAAAAAAAACATAATTTTGTCAATTAATTAATTTAATCCTTATTGGGGTATTTAGTTATAAATAATATTTATTATTGAGGTATATATAAAGAAACTATTTATTCACAGTTTAGCATTATTTAATCAATTTAGTTCGAAGATTAATTTGCAAACAAAAAGACCTCCTTTCGTAAAGCAGTAATTCATAATGAATTTTTTAACAGTGGAAGAAAAAATAGAAATGATTTTGATTTATGGAGAAGCAGGCAGGAATCTTGATGATGCTGTTAATATCTACGCTCAGCGTTTTCCGGAAAAAATTCGATCACGTGTTAGCAGAATATTAAAACGAAATAAATTTAAAAAATAAAACCAAGTATTCAAAAATTATTCAAAAATTATTGGAGAATCGTATACAGAAGAAAAATCGAACAAAATTATTTTTTTTATTACAGCGCCATCTATTACAAATATGAAAAAATGTTTTAGACAAAATCTACCAATTTTAGTACTGAATCATTTAATTTTTATTTTAAACATTTTTTCGTAAAATGAATGCATACTAACTGAGATATTTCAAAGTCTCAAGTTAAATGACTCACTTTGTATATATAATGAAATGATTTATCATGTTTACTTACAGATCCCTTAAGGCATTTTCGGGGTTGAATAGATCTGACGGAAACACCTTGAGCTGATTGTTATCCAGATATCTTTAAATACAAAACAAATAAGATTTATTAAAACTGTTAAAGTGAAAATTTGTCTATTTAACATAATAATAAGGCAAGTCTGGGTACTTACATTTGGCTAAGTGTGTATGTTTTGTAGAACGTTCCAGAGAGCACTTCCTTTATATTGCAGTGCTTTAAAATTCTGCAACAAAATGTTAAACAGTTCAGCTCCCTGTAGTAAAATTCCTTAGTAAAATTATTTGATACAATATTAGGATATCCCATTACATTTAATTAAATTTTCGGAAATAATTGTTGAGTTCTTTTAAATGAGGAATTTGACTAATTAAAAAGAACGAGATTTTATGTAAATATAAAAAAGGAATATTCACAAGTGTCAAATTATGAAAACAAATGTAATTAATAATTTTTTTATATCTTAGGACTTAACAAGTAGGTCAATTTCTTGCGAAAATCTAAGACGAAAACATCGCCCTATACGAGGTGTGTTCAGAAAATAACGGTAATTGTTAAATTTCGCGGGTTCGGAGGGTCCGGTTGTCATAAAATTTTCTTTATTATGTTGGTATACATGCCCCCGAAGTATGATAAAAAGCTGTTTTCATTGTTTACTTTGTCTGTGGCAGCCGCTAAGGTTAGACGCGAGGGGTAAACCGCTACAAAAATTTGTACACCACAATTCCTTTCTTTAAAAAATTCCTGCAATTCCTCTGCAAATTCCCGCAATTCCCGCAATTCACCTCTAAATTCCCGCAATTCCTGCAATTCCTCTGTAAATTCCCGCAATTCTCGGAATTTCTTAGTAAATTCCCCCAATTACTTGATAATTCCCACAATTCCCTAAAGCTACCTGCAATTTCCCGAAAATTCCTAGAATTTCCTCAAAATTTCCAGTTTGTTTCTTGAGACATGAAGTTTTAACAACCTACCAAAAATAAAGCGCGTACTATTTAATTATTAAAAATACCTTCGGAACTAACGCTTCTTTAAAAAAATTGGCTGAGGTAGGTATTACTTAATAAAGTACATAACTTGTAGATACATACAGGTAGGTATATTTGAAAATGTTATAAACCAATAAACATACCAAAAATAAAATTCTTACTATAATATAAAACAAAATTCAGTTTTAACAAATCAATAAAAATTTGGTAAACAAAAACCAACTCTTGATAGCAAACTAAAAATATTCTTTTTTAACAACAAAAAAACTTACAAAATGGTTAGGTCCTATAACTGCCTACTACTAACTAATATATTAAATTTAAGTTATTTAAAATTTATTTTCTTCAATTTATATTGCTTATCAATATTTATTGTCACTACTCGTACCATGCAAATCTTTTAAGAGGCGGGATTACATATCCATGCGGCTTTAAATAAATTATTTCTTATTTGAATTTATTTTGATATAATTAAAAATAATTTTTTCATTAACATTGTAACCTAAGAGGTATATACTCAACATATTTTTGATGCGGGACAGACCTAGACTTTCAAATTTTTTTTTTGTCTTTTTATATTAAATTCCAGGATTAAATTATTACAAGGCTTGAGCACAATTCCGCGCCTTCTAATAATTTAATATAAAAAATACGTAGGCGCATTAACTTTATAATATCATTATAAAAAGCTTAAAAAATGTATATTGTATATACAGTATTGTGCGAATTAATGTGAACGCAAATAGATTTACATTAACTATTATTTATTGAAAAAAAAATATATATAAACAGTACAAGTTTATAAATATTTTAGTATTATCTAATAGTGAATATATCCCCCTTTTGGGCCTTATTAAAGCTTCAACTAGTTTTGGCATAGAATTAATCAATTTTTTATAATTTTCCTTGATTTTGTTATCTCGAAACCATACCTGAATGACATCCTCAATCATCTTAGTATTTACAATCTATTTTAAGCAATTTGGCCTTGCATATAGTCCACAAATTGTCAATTAATTTCCGGTGAGTTTCCAGGCTAAACTACACCTTTTCAAACAGTATTTGAGAAATTATCATTTAAATTTTTGAAAGCGTCAATTGTATTTTAGTCTTGGCAAATGAATTGTAGAAGATATCATTTGTATTTTCTAACAGTGAATTAGATTTGCGAATCAGTCAAATGTATTTTAGCCTAATCAAATGGATTGTGGAAAGCATCAGATGTGTTTTATCCTTATCATATGGATTTTGGATAACGTCAAATGTATTCTCGAACTATCAAATCAATTTTATAAAGCATCAAATGAATTTTTGAAAGCATCATTTGTATTTTCGATGGCATTATGTTATTTCTGTCAAAATACATCATTTGACAGCTGTGTAATATTTATGACCTCGCTGTATCTCAACCTCTAAGGGTATGTTCCGTAAGTCAACTTGGTTGGTTTGGTTTCGGTTAAGGACCTTAACTTAAGGTGTCCCGTAAATGAAAAATTCCTGAAAATTATGTAGTTAACCCTTAAGCAGGCACGCGGGGTGTACAAAACACCCCAGCTTCCTAAATATACCTACCGGTCTCACTTCGTTTCGAATAAATGGCGCTTACTTTCAGTACCTTCCTGTCAAAGTATTGTCAGTCATATTATATTGCCGATTTCGAAGTTAATGTAAAAGGTTGTCTGATATTTTGTTTCAAACAGGCTCTGGGTGCTGTGGACACCCCGTGCGCCTTTCCACGTACAATTATTTTGCATTAATTTGTTAGGCTGATTTCTTCAACTTTTGTTATTACTTCACATTAAATAAGGTTATACCCTGTAAAAAAGTAATTGGAACGCACGACAAAATATTTATTTTTATCTTGAAAGCTTTGCGTTATGTTTTGCTTGTTTCCGTTCGTTCTAATATTTTATGTAAACAACAAATAAAAATTTGCCAAAATTTCTCCGCCCAATTATTTTTCAAATTATCAGTTGCCTGTAAAGAAGGGCAGATGTGTAATTTGTCCAAGGCATGGCTTTTTGCAAAAAGTAGAAGGTGTGCCAAAAACATGTGCATAAAGCACAGGAAAAATGTTTGTAAAGAAAGCTATGATTTCATAGTAAATTCTAGTATCGAAATTGAATGACTTTGAGCAGGCTGGGTTTCGCCTCCCTATTGACTTTTCTTTACCAAATCATAATTACTTGTAAAAGTAAACCTTATCTTATGTGCTTAGTGTTTTTTTTGGTTTTTATTATTGTTATGACTTTTAATATTTGTGTTTTTTAAATAAATGCTTTATTTTATTAAAATTGTCGTCTTTTGACATTTTCTTTTTTTTGTCATCTTTTATCAAATTTGAACGCAACGAAATATGTTCTCATTGTCTCTAAGCTCATCTTAACTTGATAATTTTGAAAAAAAAAACAAAAAAAATGTAAATAACACTCAGGGACGCTTTGCCATTAGGGGTGTCTCTGACACCCCGCGCGACCTACTACGTTGCATAAAGAGGTGCGCCTGCATAAGGGTTAAGAAACGCGGTTCCTGAAAAATAGGTTAACCAATCGTTACCGAAACGACCGATGCTGTATGATCGGTTAAATCGGTTACCAGTGCTGCAAACCAAATGGAAACAGTGTTGCCCTAAACAAAATTACTGTTTTTTGTTGGTTATCTAACCTAAAAATTTAACACAGGAGCAGACTTCGCATACAAAATACGTTTTGTCCAAAAATAATTGAATTCAGTATATATATACACCCTATAGGGTGTTTTAGGTTTGTTTATGTAACTATAGAAATATTATTAAAAATATATGCAAGTTGTAGTTTTTGACACAAATAAAAGTTTCAATAAAAAATCTTAAAAACTTTGTTGAAGTCCTTTGGATTCAACAAAATGAACAAATTAATGGAGGTTGCAAAGTCAAATAAGATATTTTAAAATAACATGGACTTGACATGTTGATAAGTTGGGTTATGTTTTTTCAAATAAAGGTGTCCCGTAAATATGAACTAACCGAGAAAACCAGAAATTTATTTCAGTAACCAGACCGGTAACTCGTGTGTATTTACGGAACATACCCTTAGTTGCGTGATAGATTAAGTAAATACAGGGTGTCTCGAAATTACATAGACATTATCTTTTTAACCACGTTATCGGCGACCGAAAGTAATCTAAAAAGTTGACGCATACATCCAAATGCTCACCGTTTTTGCGATACAGGGTGATTTTTTGACAATAATTTGAATATCTTTACAGATAAATATTTACGATTTGATAAAAATCTCCAAATTTTTATTCACGTTCACGTTCAGAGGTGGTTAAAACAAGGGAAGCCTTGTGACTATAATTCTGCGTTACTTTTATGTTTTTGGAATTCTTGACTTTGGAGCTGCAGAATATGAAAAAACAAGATTTTTTTAATTAAATTAATTTTAACTTGGTTAATTAATTATCTGCATATGATTACCTTTCTCTACATAGAAAAGATCTTTATGTAGAAAATTTCGATATTTTATATTCTCTTGAATGGCTCACGACCGTACCTGGTAGGTATCAGTAACAACCAAAAAATGAGAAATCTGTCATTTCTGGCTTTTAACCCCAGTTTCATGTTTAGCCACCAGGAGCGCGTTCAGATTGATTGCCGGAATTAATGTAAACGCGCTCCAGACTATAGCTATCTAAAATTCATATCACCTTTTCGAAACTACATATGATTAAGCTAAAATACATATGATTATTTCTAAAATTAAATTTACTAACCGAAACTACTTTTGACGGAGCCTCATAATCATTTGACTATTCTCATTTACAATTGACGATATCGATAATTAAATTAATAGCTCTAAACTACATATGATATTTTCTAAAATACTTTTTTTATTTCTAAAGTTCAATTGATATATACCCAAATACTAATAACATTTCGAAACTACATTTAACGCTTTCGAATATACTGTTGGAAAAGGTGTAGAAGGGTTACCTTTTTGTCCTTGTGTAACTTAGTCACAATAACCGGTAAATGACTGACATTAGCAATAACTTAATGCAGAATTATAGGTTATAGTATATGTCAAGAACCACCTGTCAAAATTATCACAGCAGTGTTCGAAGTTAAAATAATACAGAAATTTCCAATTAATCACAATACTGTACCCAAAAAAATTGAGAATGCACCGGGCATCGAACCCGGTACATTACATGTCAAGCGAACGCTCTACCGACCGTCCACGCTTCAAGCACGCTG